CCCCGAACCTAGTCGCTGAGAGAGCGCTTCATACAGTTTTCGATCTCGTAGAACGCGGGACTTTGGAAGCTTCTTGAGCAAAGTCACAAGAATATCGAGTGGTTCGTGAACAGATAGGCTGCCATCTCGGCTTCTTAGCGCCGCGATAGCCAGTTCGTGAGCCTCTCGGATAATCATTTCGCCAAGATTCTTAGGAGCATAGGGAAGAGGTGGAAGCTCCAAGCTATTTTTACTTTGTTCATAGAAACTGTGGACAGTTTTCAAAATATCAGTACCACGGCCCCTTGTGTCGTTGCCAGCAGTCTTTTCAGAGCCCGCCTTTCTCGAGAACGCCCGCTCTGTGAGTAAACCAGTCAACGATTTGAGAACTTTGTTCAATGCAGCAGTCACGGCCTGTTTGGCAGTGCTTTCCTTGGATGAGATCTCTCTCATCTTGACGAGCACTGACAATGCCAGCAAAGGTACATGGATCTGAACCATGTCCTCCTCGCGGACATTGAAATTCTCAACAATAAACTGCGCGAGATCCAAGTCACGCAACACTTGGTCCCTATCAATGTCTACATCAGAACACCGGTAATCAACCAAGCCCAGAAGCTCGGAGAATATCACACCACTTTCAACGCCATCAAAAAAGGCGCTCGCACTGCGGAAAACCTCTTCGAAGTGGTTCTCAGGGGCTGTAGATTCAAATGCCTGAACACTGCGTACAGTGGGCAAGAAAACTGCAGGGACAATATATCCACCAATCTCCCAACGATCCATTAACGACAGAGCTATGCGAAAGGGCTTGGTTCTATCGGATGGAATAATCGGTTCATCTTTGATCATATCCAGTAGACCAGTGACTAAGGGTTGTAAGCCTACCCGGCTGAAGTATTGTGATTGTGTGAGCTCCTTCCCATCAACGGACGCAGATCGAGCGGTTTCCATTGATAATTTCCGATCATCCACCGAAGAGCTATCGTTTGGGGAATCTGGTCCTAAGAACCATGCCCAGAGTCGGCGGTTCAGGCTCATGTCTCGCCGAGTGACTACCCCCACCGCAGCAATAACCAATGTTCGAAGATCAGTAGCCGCAATTTTGCTTTGCAAAATCGGAGAGCTGAGTGGAAGGTGAGTGACAAGAAGATCAAGGAAGTTACGCTGGACAAGGAGCTGGTCATCAGATAGACCTGATGCAACACATCGAATCAAGAGGCCAGGTTCCGGTAAAATGACAGAGTCTGCTGCGGCCAGTATCTCAGGTGGGATGTTCTGCGGATCGTTCCCACCAGCCGTACTTGGTCGACGGTCTGCGATACCTAGCTTTGGGAGGTAGCGGTTCAAATATGCAAGAACACCAAGCCGTCGACTAGGGTTCGTGATAGATGCGAGAAAGAGGCATTGCCAGAAATACTGCCCAGATGCCCCGGCCTCAGACGTCCTTTGTGTTTCAAGTTGTCCAGCAGCATCTCGCAGTTTATTCATTGTGCGTAGTGTTGGCTCGAAATCTTCACTTGTCTCCTCTTCGAGGCCTGGAAGTAGGGCTAGAATGATTGCTTTCAAGGCGGGACGGATGGCCCATGGTTCTAGATCAACGATATATCCCTCTACCAAAGACAGAAACAATGGGCGGACAGTAAGAGAGGCGAAAGTCAACGTTGGCGCAAGGCCGGGGAGATACAAAGGCAGGTCGTGCGATAAGCCCTCGAGCTGGTTGTAAACAGATGCATCAGTAAGCACACTGTGAGCTTTTCATGTGGCCACCCATACCTTTATCAATCCAAATATGTACGTGTAGACTTCGAGGGTCTTTTGGTGCACGCCTGACGGCAACGATGGGTTCAAGCACTGGGCGAGTCGCTTTGACACCAACACTTTATGAGGGACGATGGGCTGATCGGGCGGATGGCTTTGGAGCGCCTAATAGTTGATTATCAGCGATGCTATACATCGCTACTAATTCGAGGAAGCTCACCTTTAACAGGCGACCGAGGAATGATATATAGTCGGCCCATTCTTGGAGAGCGTTGTCGAAGAGTGAAAGCGCTCTTTCAACACTAGATGCATATCGGCGATAGTTCTTGTCTTTTTTGAGGGACCCTACAAGCACCAAATAGAATCAGACACAGTCCTCTCGTGCAGTTCCTGAGGTGGGCGCATACCTTCCTTGCCTTGTAGACGGGAGCGTGTCAAGGAGCTCTCGGAGCTCGCGGGGGAATTCGACCTCGGAAAGGCATTGGGATCAAGACTCATGGTGCCAATGACGGACGTAAAATTGTTGTGAAAGTTTTGAACTACCCTCCGTCATATTTAGGACATCGAGGATGACCCTGTGGGAAAGGGGGTTGGCGGTTGAATGTTGACCAGAGGCCAACGCAGGCGGCCACGTTCAGTTGTTTTGTTCCGCCTTGGGGTAGCTCCGACTTCGCCGACGTCAATGCCCAGCAACTATCAAATCGGCAAACACAACTGATCAAGACGCGAAATATCTGAGCTAAACAATGAGCATTTAATTCCCTGAAGACCCGCGACGAGCGACCGCGTCAAAAAGCGCATGCCCGCAGCGGGGATGAATACACAGCAAGACGCAAAGACCGAGGGCCAACAGCCTGTCGAGACCCCCAAGCAGCCGTATCTTTCCAAGCCCTCAATCCCAGATTATGATGAGGGTAGTGAGAGCTCAGAGGGAGAACGGCCACCTTTACCTCCGCGACCAAATACGTTGAGTCTATTGAACGATGAAACGGGCTCCCGGTCAGCTCTACAGGCAGAGGCAACGACGGCTATCTCGCGAACCGATATCGAGACACAACCACCGGAAGCTCCTGGTAGCGCTTCCTCCACACTAGCTGTTCGTGGTCTGGTCCAGGGTCCAAAAGCCAGGGCGAGCCTCAGCCAGTTGGCGAGCCCGCGGAGCAGCGAAGCTGGTGACTCTGCTAGTATTAGAAGCTCAGTTCCAAATGGTGATTCCGGAGATGTTGAAGCGCTGTTTATGGACTTTGCTGCTACGGAGCCTGGTAGTCAAAGGGGCGCTACAGGTCTACTTGACTTCCCTGAATTCGCGGCCGACGATATAGACGATGATGGAATTTTGAGCGAATTTGAAGCAGTTGGCGAACTTAACGAGGAAGGTGATAACGAAGGTTTGGGTCAATAATAAGTCGTCTCTTGTTTCATAATGCTAACGCATGTCAGAGCTGCTACTCCAACGGTGGAAAGCGAAGCGCAAGCACTATGTGATCCTATCCGCCGCTGGGAAGCCGATTTGGACCAGGCATGGTGACAGTGGCCTGATTTCCGGATATGTCGGGGTTATCCAGACCATTATTTCGTTTTATGAGGATTCAAATGATCATCTGCGAAGCTTTTCCGCAGGTGATACCAGGTTTGTTGTATTGACACGGGGATCTTTATACCTTGTTGCAATCAGCCGTATGATGGAGAGCGACAATCAGCTTCGTCTTCAACTGGAAGCATTGTATATGCAGATATTATCTACATTAACCCTGCCTTCTTTAACCCACCTCTTCTCTATGCGGCCTTCTACTGATCTATCGCGGCCCTTGCAGGGTTCGGAGTCCCTTCTCTCATCTCTGGCAGACAGTTTCACGCGAGGATCTCCATCGACGCTACTATCGGCTCTGGAGTGTCTGAAAATCCGCAAACAACACCGACAAGCCATCAACAATGCACTTCTGAAAACTAAAGCTAGTACTCTTCTATATGGCTTGCTTGTGGCCGGCGGACGGCTCGTCAGTGTTATCCGACCTAAAAAGCACTCCTTACATCCAGGCGATCTACAGCTCTTATTCAACATGGTTTTTGAGGCCGACGGAGTTAAAGCCGGCGGTGGAGAAAGTTGGATTCCCGTCTGTTTGCCTGGCTTCAACAGCAGCGGTTATCTCTACATGTATGTGAGCTTTCTTGACATTCGGGATGATATCGAAAATAGTGCAGAGATCACCAAAGATGAGTCTGTTGCCATTGTTCTTATCAGTCCCGACAAAGAGGCTTTCTTTGAAATGCAAGGAATGCGTGATGCTCTTGTGGAGGTGAGATTAAACAATTCCACGCAATCGAATATGGTATGCATGTACTAATGATGCAATAGCAAATGGAGAGAAACGGCAGTCTGAAGGAGATCAAAACGGCAATTGACAATGGCCGACCCGCAACCACTGATATAGTTCCTGGAACTGTGCTACATCATTTCCTATACAAGTCGCGTGCAAACGTACAATTCACCATGTCATCTTATGCGCCTGAATTTTCCTCAGTGACTCGACGGCGAAGGTGAGCAACATCCCCTCTGCTATTCATGAATCCTTGCAATATTAAATCATTCTGACTGTGCCTATAGATTGATGTCGATGTACAACAACTTGCACGCGAGCATCCACGCGAAGAATACCCATGTCAAAGTACACCACTGTGTTTCGCGGTCAGCCACTTCGTTCGGATGGGTAACCCCTGTATTCGAATTCTATTGTATCGCCGAGCCGAACACTAATCGAAATGCACTTGCCCAAAGCGCTAGCAAGATTGCTCAGTGGGTGCAGCGTGAGGAAGAGAGGTTATTCATCATTGGCGGTGCGGTACGTACTTTGTCTCTGTGGTTATTATGGCACGAGTGGCAACACTGATCACATCAAACAGGTTTTCTGATATCTTCCCGACGTTTGCACTAAGTCACAAAACACTTTTGTGGTCGCCGGGACACGAAAATCAAATCATGTCTGAAAGAGAGAGGGCCACATGAGCCCAAATAATAACACTGGATCCGAACTCCGCCAGTCAATGGACGAAGTTCTCTGTATATACTCTCTCGTGATTTATTATACCCAATACTACGTCCGCCAACCTTACATATATATTGTTTATGGTAGTATCCTAGTCTACTTTTATATCTCAAGATCTCTTCGTAGAATTTACTGGTAGATATTCTCGGTTCATCACGTTGCATTGCTAGAAAATCCATAATACGTATGAAAAAAATAAAAGACCGCACATGTGGACTAATCGATTGTGTCCTCTCTCAAGTTAAAGAGCTGACGCATAACCTCACCCGACCTGCTGCGCAGCGCATCGTGATACATGGTGTTGGTTATAAACTGCTTGGAGTTCTTGATCTTGGCAGCAGTGGCTGTGGCCAGGTCAAAGTGAACATACATGTCGTCGATGTAGGTTGCAGCATAGACTGGCACCTTGTTTTTGGCCAGTTGAGCCTCGTCATATAGGTCCGGCCATTCGTCTGTTGTAGCCAGGATTTCAGCTGCTTCTTTGAGCTTTGAGAGTTCTGAGTAAGACTCGAACATATCCTTGAAGACCTGGAAGGTGGGAAATGGTGTTAGATCTTTCTGTTCAAACAATTCTGGGTTGGGTTGGGTTGGGCTATTTACCATCTCGCCGGTGAAGTAGATCTCGGACAACGAGTCATTGATCTGGAATTGCGGGTTACTAGCGCGCAGCCTGTCTGCAGCCCAGAGCGACGGCTTTCTACATTTTTTGTTAGACACAGGTATGCCAAAAACAGACGGCAAGATTTTCCTTACCCTTGGCAGTAGATTGATTCATGCAGAATGGCATAAATGATATTTTTGTCCATACCGCCATTACTGTCAATCACGGAAAGAGTAGGCAGAGTAAGGAATCCGAACATCTCCAGATCGTTTGAGACTCTGAAAACAATGTCTAGACTCGGGTTAGTATTTCTACTACGACCTTCACGAGACAAAGCAAGGTTTACCGTGTAGGCTATCAAAACCACCTAAGTCGTGTTAGCTTTATTCGATTGTCTGAATCGAGGGATTTACCGTGGAAGCCGAACATGATGCCTAGTTGCTGGAAGCGAGCCGGAGTGAGCAACCCGGATGGCAATGCAACCTTGTTTTGGGTCAGGTATTGCATGATATTCTTAACACGGGCCACATCCTCGGGGAACTTCTGGTAGTAAGCTTCGTTCCTCTCCTTGACCTTCTCTGTTTTTTGTGTCAATGTCACGAATAAGCCACTCCAGGAAAACAGGGAAGCGCACCATAGGTCTTCGCATAGACAGGATCCGGCCCGTTGGTCAGGGGGGAAGGCCACCAGTAAGGAAAGCTTCTCTCAAGCCCTCCGGGCTGGAAGTTAAATGATATCAGCGAGGTGTTCAAGATCCAAGTATGGAGATCAATGAGTCTCAAAACATACAACTTTGACAAGTAAGTCACGGCACAGAAGCCACCGAAACTTTGCCCAAGGATACTCCACCGGCGCTGGTCAGCCGGATAGTCCTGTGTCAGAACATCACGGATAGCTTCGCAATCACGGACAATGCTGTCTGCACGGAAGTTCTTGAGATACTCGGCCTGCTTGATTGCATCTCCCTGACGAGCAAGGGTTCCCGCTGTGAGAGTCGAACTGAGGCCAGTGCCTCGTTGATCCAGAAAGAGCACCTAGAGAATAGTTGAGCATCAATCTACAAAAGGTAGAATTTACAGACATGACACACTTGATATCCCTTGCTGAGCATGAATTCGACCCAGGGGTAAGACTGCGGGGCACCACATCCAAAGCCAGGGCCACCTTGAAGATAGACCAGCCAAGGAAGCTTGCCCTCCTTGGCTTCTTTGCCCTCTTCCTTAGCAGGCTCAATGGGTTTGTTCAAGCGACTGATGCTTCGTGCAAAGAGCCTCAGCGTGTCCCCAGCAGGCTTGTTGTAGTCCACAGGGACATCGAAGAGCAGCTCAGAAACACGAAGTTTGCCTAGATAGTGTCAAATTTATCAGTTTTAACACCGGTGGGCTAATTAGTGACGATACAAACCTGAGACATTATGGAAACGTCGCTCAATCAGTTTCGCAGCCATGATTGCGATGTTGATGCGGACTGAAAATAGAGGGCGCGTTGGCGACAAGCCGCTTTGCGGAGAACCGCACCATTTTTTGGTCTAGGCCTTGCTGTTCACCTGCAATCACCCAGCCGAGTGAAAGAAAAATTTAGTGTCTTTGTTTTTGTTTATTTCCTTGACCAAGATTGTTCATAGAGAGATGTGTAACTTATTGCATATATGGATGAGTAGACGGCTTTGAAAAAAAATAACATTGGATGTATGTAGCTATGCCCGAATAGATTCATGTCCGACACGGTGTTCGATGTCTTCAACAAATCTTTCTCAGAATATGTGCTTAATTTGGACCATATTTTAGTATGCCCTAGGATGGATACATTGTAGCAAATTGACCTGGGACATAACCATTACTTTGTTATGAATTCTGTAATCCGTTCCAAAGCGGAATCATTCCGCAAAGAGAAAGATAGAACTGGCCGTTTCACGAGTTCGTACCCGAGTGTTTGTTGGCTGCGAGTTGCCGGCCTGCCTTTAGCAATAGTAGGGTCGCTGGTAGCTGAGCGGCCGCAAATCCAACCATAACAATCAGCTGCGTATTGAAACTACCAGCTAAAACGTTCTTCACCTCCTCTTGTAGAAGAGGAGGTAGGCTTTTTATCGATCTCACATTCTCAAGGAAGAGGTGCAGTTCGTGCGATGTCATAACACCTTGCAAACGATGCGTCAGATGGCCATTTAATATATTAGATGCAATGGCAAGACCAATAGCACCACCAAGAAAGCGGAACTGAACCACGGTGCCAGTGGCAATTGCTGCAACGAAAGGCGATGAACCAGTTAGCCAATGCATCGGTCACCTTAGTATCAGGAAGTTTTCGGGGAAACACATACCTAGGTCTCTGTCCTCGACAATATATGGTGTCGATAACACGAGGATGCCCATGGTCAGACCCATTCCTGTCCCAGCAATGACTAGATAGCCAATATCTGTTGCGTGGAAGCCTCGAGTACTGGCAATGGTCGAAAGAAGCCCAATACCGACAGTATGGACTGTACAGCCCACGAGCAGAGTATAAATAAACGGGATGCGTCCCCTAGAGCTGGCGATATTGATAATAGCCGCAGCAACTGCGGCGATAGCAGAATACCCAATCAAATAGATACCGGCCTCCAAAGGCGACTTGTCCAACAGAAGCTGGGCTTGCTGTGGAACATATACTAGGACGACGTTGTACGGTGCGCCGATGACGAACGAAGAACTAAAAGCGTGTCAGAAGAAATTGCACGGTAACCGTGGATATTAATTAGATGGACTCACATAAGTATTCCCAGCCATGGACGATCAAAAAGCCAACGCTTGGGAAATATGGGGTCTTTGCCCGGGATGCCCGAAATATACCATTCCCAGGCAAAGAAAGCGATCCAGCACACCCCCGTGAGCACAAGGAGCGCAATTGCATCCCTCGAAGACCACGAGAATGCCAGATTGGTTTCATTCAATACGGCGACTATCAAAAATGAGCCAGCCATCATCAAAAACGATCCCATTATATCAAGATTAGCAAATGAGCGATATGAGGCTCGTGTCCGGAATGAAGGAGTGTGCTGATCAAGGCCAAAGTGTTTGGGCATCGCAACGATGATAACAGCGATCGCAATAGCGCACAATGGTGCACTAATAATTTAGTTAGCATGCTTTTCAACACAGATGCTTAGCATTTCACATACTTGACGAAAAAGGTCCATCGCCAGGCCGAATTTTCTGCAAGAGCACCTCCAACAATTGGGCCTATCAAAGATGCAAAAACAAGGCAAAATGACATGAGACTGCTGTAGATTGGAAGCTTCGTTTTAGGAGCTATCTCGTAGACGCATAGGATCGTCAATGCGTATGTACCAGCGCCCCCGATTCCTTGGAGAGCTCGGAATATTATGCTGCCTCAGTAGTGTTAGCCTTTGGACAGAAAATGAGCGCAGGACTACGCTAGACATACAGTTGGTTAACTGTCTGAGCAAACCCACACCCCATAGAAAATGCGAGCAGAATGACAAGAGCAGCGATTGTAGTTTGTTTCCTGCCAAGTATATCGCTGATTTTCGTCCATATTGCCATAGACCCTGGAAGTATTATGATATCAGTAATGAGAGAGATAGAGACTGTGGGAGACTATCTCAAGACATATGTTCAAGAAGAAAAGAAACATCCAAAGAGTAGAGAAATTATTATAACATCGCATTTTGTATCATACCTGTGTAGGTGGCTAGATATCCAGTGATAATCCAGCTTCTTTTCTCGAAGCCTTCCAAATCATCTGTGATACTCGTGAGAGCCGAGCTTACAATCGTGACATCCAAGTTGGAGAGGAAAAATCCAATCAAGAGTCTATACATCATCAGTCTTCGTTAGCAAAACCCAATGGCACTTGACTGAGCACATACCCTGTGGTGGTAAGCACTAGTCTCCATCCTGTCGGGTAAACAATTTCACTTCCTGGGGAAGGTGCTCTCTGTGCCGACCCCTTTTCTTGGATGTGCCCCCTAGCGCGGTCTTTGCTAGCTTTATTCGAGGTCGGCTCTGCGAACTTGATGTGGCTAGACATGGTTGTCGGCCTCTCAATGATGGGTGCGTCAAGAGTAGGTGAAGACTGGAGTGGCAGGCATCGTTGCAGGCGAGAAAGTTTTGAACGTGACCACTGTCTACGTAGGACCAAGCCCCGCGTATCTTCACCCCAGGGGCTTCATGTGGAACGCCAGGAGATGCGCGATGACAGAATGTGGAATATTTACATGCAAAGAAGGGTGATCCGCGTCGATCATTGAACCTAGATATGCTGGATTGGATGTGGCTTGGCATAAATTTGCTTTTCTGGGGCATGCGCGACTGGATTTGGAATTTTGAACTGCTTTTTCGACTGCTTTTGATGATATTATTCTCCGTCTTTTTAACTGCGACATGGTCTGGAAAGGAGGGCCCTCACGCGTTCTATTTTCCTAATCTGAGACAGATTCTCCTTGCTCAGGGATAGCTATTCGCCCCTGGAATATGCAAACATGCTATACAACATAGATAAGGTCGTTCAATGTAGTCAAGTAAGGAGGACTTGTGCACTGCCAAGCTGGATTCGGAGAGTAACGCGAGCTTGTAGTTGACTTAGCAACAAATAGGCGAAGTCAAGAAATCTCTGCTCCGTACCCTCGCCCCATACTCCTCCCCGAGGTTGACAGGATAATTAGGCGCAATTAGCATACAAGGAGATGTCAGGGGCAACATGAACAAAGGGCCTGATGCCTGATGAGAAACAGGGCAAAACCAGCCTTGGAGATTACCTGGACAGTACTTCGTCCGTCACAGACCAGGTAAATCGACTCAGCGCCTGAGGCAGCCAAGCAAGAGTCACTATGGACATCTCTAGGTACGAAGTACATTCCTCCATCTCCACATTGCCTATCTTCTCCAAAACTTCCATTGTAAGATCACCAGAAGCTGTTCGAACTTCGGACTTCGGACATCGGCCTCACTTTGCCCCACTCATCCCGCTTTCCAGGCTTCCAACGTTCTTTCGGACGTGCCCAGGTGTCTTCCAATGATATCTGTTTAGATCTATCTATTTTCTATGCGAGATCAGAAGGCATCAAATATTGTTTTTGGCAGGTATAGCCGAACTTTATAGGGAGCAAATCCCGAGACCCCGGCATTGTATAAATTGGCGAGACTGTTCAATTTCCCCTCCCCTCGACACACATTTCAGCCATGCATAACCAATTCCAACAAGACCTATGGAAGGCTGCACGGGGACCCTGGGACTCGAGTATTCTCCCTAGCTCCGAGAACCTAGCGCGAGCTAGAGCTTCTCTCCCCGCGACACTTCCGAATACAGGATCCAGTCTCGAATTTGTCCAGCGGCACATTGTCGATGATATTGTCCCGGCATTCAATGGAGGAAGCATAAGCGCCAATTACTATGGATTTGTGACTGGTGGAACTACCCCAGCAGCGCTCTTCGCGGACAACGTTGTATCTGCTTACGACCAGAACGTCCAGGTCCATCTCCCAAATCACTCGATTGTCACCGATGTGGAGTACAACGCACTTGGGCTCCTTTTAGATCTTTTCCAACTGGAGCGTTCTGTCTGGTATAATGGCACATTCACTACTGGGGCCACGGGGAGCAATATCCTCGGCCTAGCATGTGGGCGCGAATTTATTTTGCAAAAGGCGGCGCAGAGAAAAGGCTGTCATCTCCAGAGTGTTGGTGAAGAGGGCCTGTTTGAGGTATTGAATGCACTGGGTCTTTCTGGGGTGCAGGTTTTATCCACGCTGCCACACTCCTCCCTCGTGAAGGCTGCTGGTGTGCTAGGCATCGGTCGTTCCAACGTACACAACATCTGCCGAGCCGACGACCCGCTCCGCTTTGATATTGATAAGCTTCAGAAAGAACTTGCGAGAACAGACAAGGTTAGCATCGTTGCAATATCTTGCGGAGAGGTCAATACTGGTCGTTTTGCAACAAGCGGTGCGGATTTGAGGAAAATACGCCAGTTGTGCGACAAGTATGGAGCCTGGATGCACGCCGATGGAGCATTTGGAATCTTTGCTCGTGTCCTTGATGAAAGCCCAGAGTTTGCAACAATCAAGAAGGGTTGTGAAGGAATAGATCTGGTCGACTCGATAACCGGTGACGGCCACAAGCTTCTCAACGTGCCCTACGACTGTGGCTTTTTCTTTACTCGACACCCGAATGTGGCATCGCAAGTATTCCAAAATGCGAATGCAGCTTACTTGGCTGCTGGAAACTCCGATGGCCCTTCCATCCCCTCGCCTCTAAACATTGGGATTGAAAACTCTCGTCGATTTAGAGCATTACCGGTGTATGCATCGCTGTTGGCATATGGCAAGTCCGGGTATCAAGAAATGCTGGAGCGTCAGATAAGGCTCGCCCGGAAAATATATGGATGGATATTCGAGCATTCTGGTTATACAGCTTTGCCAGAAGCATTGTCCAAGTCTGAGCTGCTCG